TTTCGCAGACGTCCTACGCCGAACAGGCTGCACGTTTGGAACACCGATGCACGCTTTCGAACGAACGCTAACGTCGCGAACTGTTCGAACTAGCGAAGCGACGATGAAACGCGAGCGCCGGGACATTGACTCACCGCACTCCGAGCAACAAAAAATAGAAAAACGAGACCGTATAGAATAGAAACGAGATAATAGCAAAACGAATGAGATAATTACAACAATTGAAAATAAAATGAAATGTCGCACAATCACTCTAAAAGAACAAAAGAGAGCCGATCAACAAGATAGAAGAGGACGAACGAACAGGTAACACGAGATAAACACAACTGAAACACAAGCGAATCAGTGCAGCTTAACTTGGGGGTGGAACTTTTATTAAAACGTCGCAGCTGTTTAAGCTTCTCATTATCCAACTGGGACAGCTCAATGATCTCCCATAGTTGAGTACACCATACTCTTTATCGTCGAACATTTCTTCTGAACAAATTCTGCGTCTGACGTTCGCAAGAACTCGGCCTGTATGCGCCGTTGAGAGTGGTTGCGTGCCAATCGGATCCTAGTACAGCCATCGACTCTTAGTTATAGCCAACCAACAACGAATCAATCGCTAATCAATCAATAATCAATACATTCTAGAAAACGTTCAGATGTGCTTAGCATGGTAAAAAATGCATGAGCTATGCGTAGTGATACCAATGAACATGCAATGAATAATTACTCAATACTTCATCAGTAAAAAAAAAACAAATACTTAGTCAGCCATACATACAATGTAGAGTGAGAGAACGGAATGAGGAAAAAAAAAGGAAAAGGTGGGAAGACGGAGATCGAAATGGACGGAGATAGAAAGAGACAGACAGAAACTGACGCAAAAAAAAAAGAATGAAAATAGAGCAAGCACAGGTATGTATAGCGTAGAATAGCAAGAAGCGGAAAGGGGCGGATTGTGAGAAGGAGTGCAAAGGCCACCAGCTCCGCTGGGGCACGTATACACGCGTTATCCGCGCCACAACATCCGTACGTGGCGGGAAACCTGCCACCCGGAAGTCCCTGCGCGTGCAGTGCGGCTGCGCAGATAGCTCGTGTGCGGGCCATCTTGGTCGATCATACCTCTAGCGCGGAGCTGGCCCGATTCTTCACTAAAGCGCTCTTATTCATCGCCAAGCTGGGCCATTACAATGACACCACCAGATAGACAACCAAAAGTCTTGCGTTGACAGAGGGAGAGAGAGATAAAGATGCAAGGAAAGACAGGGAGGTTAACCAGACGCGCATCCGGTTTTGCTACCCTGCACTGGGGAAGGGATGAAGGGAAGAAAATAATTTGCAGAGAGATAAGAAGGTACACACAATCACGAGCACACTCGGGGGAGCACACACAGTCTACAGGCGGTCGCTCAGGTTTGTTGTCTTTTAAGTAAAGTAGGAGTGCTTTAGTCGCTTTCTGCGCAATTGAGGCAGGTGCTTAAGGTCCCAGAATCTTCTGCTCACAGAATGGTCTAGAGTCAAGTTGATTCAAAACCATCCGGAGCTGGCGTCGCCGCGTGTCGTAGCAAGCGCAGCTGCACAGGACGTGTTCGATGGTCTCTTCAGCTCCGCAGTAGTCGCATGTAGGAGTGTCTGCCGTACCAATGCGAAAGAAGTACACCTTCGTGAATGCAACACCCAACCAAAGGCGGCATAACAGTGTCGCATCGGAGCGGGAAAGTGTGTATTCCAAGAAAGACTAGCTCTGAAACAAGATTCACTGCAATGCCGATTCGCCTCGCCATTTCTCAATACACATTCAGGTGCCAGTTTTGTGAACTCCTCGGGCGTGCGGTATATGACTGTGGGCGTGCAATCTACTACCGCGAGAATGTTCGGAATGGGAAATACCCCGATGTTCAACGGACGACATGTGAAGAACCAAGAAGTGTTCGTTGCCAGGCGTGGTCGGAACTGTTCTGACTGCGCGTGTACAGCTGCGTTCTGTTCATACCAGCTGCAGCAAAAGCGCCTACCTGACTCGTCGTCATATGTAGCCTCACTACTTGCCTAAAATTTAGATCATTGAAACCCACACGTTTCACTCGAGATAGACCATGCGCTTCGCACGAGTTTGTTTTCGTGTTTGCAGGTATAGGTTACAAAAGGTGCCAGAAGTGGGGGGAAGGGGCACTCACGATCGATCAAGTGTGCCCGCTTCCTCACCCCTCTTGCGGGGGTCCCTAAGCACTGCCATAAGCAAGCCTAACAATAATATCTGAGGTTGCACGTCCCAAAACAACGATACGATCATGAGAGACGCCGTATGTAGTGGATGGATGGATGAAAAACTTTTATTGGAGTCCTGAAGGATTGAACCCCCCTTTTCGTAGGGCTAGGATCGCGGGCCGCTCCCACGTTGGGACGGGGAGGCCCAGCCTTAAACTCCGGAAATTTTGACCATCTGGTCTTCTTTGACGTGAACTTACATCGTGAAGTACACAGACCTCCACTATTTCACCTCCATCGAAATGTGATCGCCCCGGCCGGAATCAAACCCGTGACCTCCGGTTCAGCAGCCTAGTTCCACCGAGGCGGACCCCTAAGCGAGCCTGGGAAATGGAATAGGGAAGGAAAAAAAAACACAGCGATGTCAAGCAGGTGAGCGCCAGGTTTGCTACTCTACGCAGAGGGAAGTGTATTCATGCATAAAAAGAAACATGTCGGCAGGGAGGTGAGGCGGTGAACTACGATCTACCACAATATAGATCTACGATCGTCATTAAGTATACCGGTGCCACCATTGTCAGACAGGCAGTTTTGATAGCAATCAGGGCTGATACGGATCGGATTGTTTGATCGGCGTGAAGAATTGCCATTGCTTACCCGGTTAAAATTAATCCGAGTGAAGTTTGGTGCCGACGTCACCAAAGCGCAATCCGGCGGTGGTTCGAGATTGCGCTGGACAGATTCCGGTCGGGTCGGATTGGTAAGTGTGACAGTGTAGCAGCGCCTGACCCTGATTGAGCATAATCGGCGTCGGCCCTGATCGCGATTGAAGGCTCCGGACTGTCACTAGCGTTACGATTGATGATTGATTGATATGTGGGGTTTAACGTCCCAAAACCACCATACAATTATGAGAGACGCCGTAGTGGAGGGCTCCGGAAATTTCGACCACCTGTGGTTCTTTAACGTGCACCCAAATCTGAGCCCACGGGCCTACAACATTTCCGCCTCCATCGGAAATGCAGCGTTGCAATTGAGGAGGTAGTATGTTATAATAATCGTAGGTGCTTTACATCGCCAAACCACAACATGACTAGGAAAGACGTCGTAATTAACGGCTTCCGAAATTGTCCCCCCCCCCCGCCTTCATTGGGGTCCTTTACTTAGTTGCACACCTAAGTCTTCTCCCTAAAACATTCATATTCGTTCTGTTTCCTTTTTTTCTTTTTCAATGAATAAAGGATCGCCCAGTACACCGGCTTCTAGAATTGCATCCCAATCGAAAAGCGGCCGTCCAGGTCCTGATTACATAAGGCGACCTCCTAATCAAAAAATTCTGCTGCCAATTGCAGGAGTGCTTGAAACGTCAAGTAAAACAAATAAACTCCGAGTACTGTAAATAAGCACCGCGCGAGTCCGCAAGCTGGAGGAGACGTTTGTGTAAATAAAAATGATTTGTAACCAGTGATAACCACTGATTTGTTTAACTCGTGTAACCAGTGATTCGTAACGTTCGGTTGAGCGCAGTGAGCATGAATGCGCGGGTTTCGCAATTATAGGACGCGGCCACGTTGCACAGCGCGCCTCCTTCTGCTTTCTCCCATTCGTTGCGTTCGACAGAATACGCGCTTCGGAATGAATACAAACACGAACACGAAGCGATTCGATCGCTCTCAGAACCACCTGCCGCGAGTTTCCGGCTTTACGGGAGTAAAGACGGGAAGTAAACAGCTCCTGCAATGCAACTTCCGGTGTCATCGGCCACCGTTATCGTCAAGACCATAGGCACGCGCAAGGGAAGGGATAAGAGGGACGCCCCCCCCCCCCCCCATTCACCTTTCAGGGGTGGGTGCAGTCAGCCACATACGTTTACATAATGGGGAGGGGGCGGCATTGCGATTAGGGGGGAGGGGAACAATCAGCCACACACTAGCCTAATAGAGAGGTGGGGAGGAGGGAAGGGGACAATGCGGCAAACCTTTGACCCCTGCCCCCCTGAAATGGAACCCTTAAGCGCGCCTATAGTAAAAAAAATCTTCACGGCCATAAACCAGAATATTAGGTACAGGTACGACGGAATGAAGATATGGGGCTTGCTTGGCGCCCCGGTGGATAACCAAGGGGCAGGGGTGTTAGCCAAAGGTTGGCACACCGGGCTCGTGATTACTCCCACCTGAAAAATTTTTTGGCATGGCATTAAGAACGAAAAAAATTACCAAATCAAGGAGGTGCCCCTCCCCCGAAATTGCGGAGTTGCCCCTCCACCACCGCCTCACGGAATAATTTCTGGCTACGCCCCTACTAGAAAAGCAGACCCCCCCCCCCCCCCAATATCATGCATCCCCCGAGCGCAATACCTATGGTAGTGACACAGGTATCCCCAGCCGAAGCGGCACGCTGCGAGCGAGCATGCACAGTAGCCTAATAAAAATTTTGTTGGGCTAGTCGGTACGTGTGCGCACATAGCTGCTAACTTGTTATTATATGTCACTGATATTGTGAGAACAAAGTTACGCCTTTTCTATTCTGTTCTAAATTTTCCCTCGTTGATGGTGCGCGTCTTCTTGTATTTCAGTACGCACAGTAGCTATAGCAGCTGCGGCGGCTTATATACGCCCGAGAAAGAACGGCGCCGTTCCGACATGACGACGCGGCGGGGGAGTGTGCACCGTAGTCGCTCGCACAATTGTCCGACGCCGCAGCTGAGCACGCTCGGCTGGCTGCGCAAGCCGCGCTGCTGCAGCAGATAGCGGCGGCGCGTCCGAGTCGTGCACCTCTCACGACTACGCACCGCGGCAAATCGCCAAGTGCGCCGAGGGTGCGTGTTAGCTTTCGACGACGTCGGCAGGAGACAAGTTCTCTTTCCGCGGCGCCGATTATCTCCCGACGCCGAGCGAAAGAGGGCCGGCGGCGTTACGCCTCCGATCGCCCTTTCTCTCCGTCCTGTGCGTTCTGCGTATTACTTCTATAATGTCGAGGTGCGCGGAGCGTTCAGAAGGCTCGCAGCGGAAAGACGATTGCCAACCTGCCGGGGCGGTGGGTGCACAGTAACTTCGCCGGCTTAACGTGCGTACGCTTAGCCACTGTTCTACATTCGTTCGCGCTGCGCGCGAACGAATGTAGTTCGCCGTTGTCTTGCACTCCGTCTCTGGTGCACCTGTGGGTTTCGACACTTCAGAAAAAAAAAGTAGTGCGGAGTTGAAGAGAATCGCCGGCTGCGGCGCGCGCCTTGCATTCTGCCAGTGGATGCGTCGACGACTTCGGATCTGGAAGCCTCGCACCGGTGGGTTTCATTGGTCGGTCTTCACCGGCATCCTTGCGGACGACTATCGGAGTGAATCAAACGCCGTGGGAGTGAAAGAGAGAGCAAAACAAAAAGCCATGACCGAGGATTACTACGACGAGGAAAGCCGCTACTACTGTGACGGTGGTGTTTGTTTTGCGTGTTCCGTGTGAGTGATGATGACGTTGGTGCCGCCGACGTTCTGCGGTCATTGCGCTGCGCGATGTGACGGCGGCCGGCGGCGGAAGACGCGGCAGCGTTCCGCGATCCCTGCCGCCGTGCCGATGGTGCTACTGCTTCTCCTGTTCGGGCGGGCTGCGCCGGAGCTCGTGCAAGTGACGAAAGACGTCAGCTCGCCGACTTCCCTGCCGCCGTGCGACGTGGCCGGAGGTAAGCGCATCGCCGCCCGCGCTGTAGCGCCGCATAACGCGGACGTGTGTGCAGGCACCTCGCTACAAGGACTTCGCAATAGGTGAAACATTCATCACAACATGCTTCGCAATAGATGAGAAAAAAAAGGGGGTAAGGCAGCTTCGGACATTTAGAGTAAGAGAGAGACAGAGACAGGTCGGTCTGGGTGATAGTGTGCTCTAGCCTGCTACTCTACAACGGGGTAAGGAAAAGTGTGTTTAGAAAAAAGTGGTTAATGATTTAGAGTACTAGGTACTCTACTATGAGAGAGCATTAAGCCGTCCCGTAACTGCAACAAGGAGAAGTTTATTGACTTCCAACCAAGGATAAAGTACATGACAAAAACATCGAGCTTCATGACTACAAAGGGTGCATGTACAATCAGGAAAGCACCACTACCGAGGTACAATGTATGTGGGGGAACGTACCCCTTTATTTACTGTACAGCGCGTGGTGCTCCAGCAGGCTTAATCATGCACGGTGGTAGGTCTTCTCAACACGCGGTTGGAACAAGTAGCGACTTAGCGCTGTACAACTCTAGGTATTATTTCTTTTTTGTCGCCTGAAACAATGCCGCTTTCGTACACGGTAAGTGCATGCCCGAAGAAAAGTGCAGTAATTGATGACGATGGTGAGGTATAGACGCGAGCATGTACAATCCTATCCAGCTGAGAAAAATGTTATAGCCACGCTCACCAACCCAGTTTCTTTTAAAAAGTAGTGCCAAGCCTTGAATGCAAGTGCGCAGGTGGTTAGCCTTCTTTGCTTGTACTCGGATTTATGTTTCCTCCCCTCTGTCTTTCTTTTATTTTATCCAGACATTTCTGTCTTCCTTTTTTCTCTCTTAATTTATATTTGTTTATACTTTTCTTCCAAAATTTTCCGTGCTTCTTTTTCTATTTCTCGCTTCCTTCCTCTCTCTTCTGCTTTTGCTCGTGCTTTTGCCCGCATTACAAGCTACACGAGACGACGACATCACACGAAAGTACTGGCCTCTAATGTGCTCTGCACTTAGAAATGAGAATGAGGCGATTGATGACGTGCTTCTGACGATGGCCTACCTATAGGGTACCTTGCCCTGCGGGAGTAAGGACCGGGAGTAAACAGTTCTTGGAATGCAACGACACGGGCCTTCGACCACCATAATAGTTGAAAACCCTTACTGGCTATGATCCTTCTATTTAAACAATAATGGAAACAGCTCCGACTGGCGCAGACTTTGCATTCTTCTCTTAACTGATAGAGGGCGGGGGGCTGTCTACCGCTCTCAATCCCCCCCCACCTTCTATTTACATATGCCACAAGTTTCAAACTTGCGGCCTGCGAGCTTCTCGTTCGCGTCCCACGGCCCTCAAGTGAAATGTATTCGCCTAAGTGGCGTAAATTCAGTAAAATCAAAAGGGTGGCACACCTCTTGTCATGGCGGCCATTTTATCTCTTATAAATGCCATTGGGTTCATTTTTACTTATATAAAAATTAAATTCGTGCGTTCAGAGTAAGTTGAAAATCGAGCGTGGGTTCCCCACTAATGTAATTGCATCGTTGGATCGATTATTTCCTGAAACTGATGGAGCGGCAGTTTTGATTTCAATAGTCTCACTTCGACGGTTCAGACTAAAAAATAATAAGAGGAGAGAAAGAAACTTAGAAAGGTTCAATGAGCTATACATAATGGCCAAGTCAATCGGGATGTTTGAAACAGTAATTTCTAGGGAAAACACCAGGAAAGGGTTGTCTCCCCCTGCCGAAGCACGAGAAGTGTCAAACCCCCACTGATTCCCCCCCCCCCTCGTTATAGACGCCACTGCTGCGAACCACATTTTGTTTTAAATTCTCCTAATTAGTACGTTCGCGAGCTGCGCAGGCTTGAATAGTCCAAAGCAATGTTTTCGTGAGGCACCCTAAAGGATCACCATGTCGCGAAACATAACCGTGAAACAAAAAATTCCGCCATATCCACGAAGTGAATGATGATGAATGGGCGAAGCTCCGGAGGTAAACCTGGTAAACCATGAATCCTCTGTACATTTTGCCCACTCGATTTTATTACATCGCTCCCCCTAGCGTACGTCGCCGCACTAAATCGAACGATTGCCTTCAACCAATGACACGCGCCATATGTGACATCATTCCTATTTTATAAGATCTCGCGTCTTTCATCAACTACAAGTACCGCTTTCTAGTTTATAACATCTTGCATCTTTTCATCATCAGCTACAAGTACCACCATCTAGTAAACACTACAAGAACTAAACGAGAGGTGGCTACATACAGGAGACGGTACCGCCATCTAGTGAACACTGCAAGAACTAAACTAGAGGTGGCTACATACAGGGGACGGTACCGCCATCTAGTGAACACTGCAAGAACTAAACTAGAAGTGGCTACATACAGGCTACAGGGGACGCTCAGCCCACGCCCTAAGGAGCTTCGCCACTAAAAAAAAATACACCATCCCCTGCTAAACGGAAGCATGCATGTGTAGATGCGAAGCAGCGGGCGTTAATGCTTACACTGGCGGCGTCGTTGACGCTGGTACACATCGCGGCGTTGTACCGCCGAAGAGAAACAAAGCGGGGTGCAAAGCACGCTGTGATGGATCGGTGTTTCCTACTGGAACATGTCAGTCGCTGCTAATGGGCAATGAGAGACAGAAGACTCCGATTGGACACAGAGACCCGCAGTCCGCTTTACGGTTAATGCGTACACGCTGCGACTTCTCATTGTTTCAGCAACGCACAAGAGCAACGCAGCAGGACTCTCGGAGGTCAAGTTGGAGTGCCTGTATAGACGGCGTATATTGTCGTCGTATAGACGGCGTGTATAGTCAGTGCCTATATAGTCAAGCAATTTGGTAGCAGACACTCCCTGAGATAGCGTTACGAGTGGAGAGAGGAGGAGAGTAGGAGCGGAGAGAGAGAGGGAGGACGTGCAAGCGCATTAAGCGTGGTCACGCCGCACACCGGATTGAGCTCGACCATAAGCTGCTTCACATACGTCGTATGTTGGTATCCTGAAACCTGACCTTCAGAAATAGCCTGTACCTGAGACATGAGAAAGTTGTGGTTTGTAAAGGCAACGTTTTCCGATATTTTACGGAAACCACCTCCCCCCCCCCCCTCAGTTTTATCTCTCTCTCACTACCACCACGTCACGGTGGTATGTTGGTTATAGCGCTCTGCTGATATAGTCCAAAGTTCGCGGGATGGAATTCCGGCTGCGGCGGCTGGACTTTCGATGGAGGCGAAATCGTTTGAGGCCCATGCAGGCAGATCTAGGGGCACGTTGAAGAATCCCGGGTGATCGAAATTTCCGGGGCCATCCACTACCGCGTTTCTCATAATCATATCCCGGTTTTGATACGTAAAAGTCCCGCATCCACTGCCCCACCATTCGCGTGACTTGCGGGACCGCGGCGTGGTGGTTTAGGTGAGTACGAGAACGATGCCTTGTGCAAGCGTCTGTGTCTGTGCTATCTATACAACAATTGCTGGAGGGCTTTCGGCGGGTAGATAATCTTAGCGCCAGCAAAACTCGTATCTCCAGTCGAAATTACGTGAACGCGTAAAAAAAATATTTTACAAGTTTACTCTCCCAATCAGCATTTTCGATGGAGGCGAAAATGCTGTCGGCCCGTGAGCTCAGATTTGGGCGCACGTTAAAGAACCCCAAGTGGTCGAAATTTTCGGAGCCCCCCCACTACGGCGTCTCTCATAATCACATGGTGGTTTAAAAAACCAATCAACATGAGCTGCTAAAATCACACAAAACAATGCTTTCCTTCGTTTTCTTACTTGTAATGTAAGGGTGAGTGCCCTGGAATTATGCCACGCGAATTTGACGTGTTTCTGACAGCGCATCGTAACTGGTGACTGAAGGCGGTGTAGACCAACGTAAAAATGAGGTGGTCGGCACGAATAACTCAGAATAAAAGACGGTAAATATGAGCATCTGGATACGGTAGAAAGACACCATGACCGGCTTCAGCGCCATAAATTGAGAGACGAATACGCCTGAAAAAACCGCAATTTGTGACTGTATTCGATGAAGCCACAGTACGTTTTAGCGCAACTACCAGGAGATTTAAATTTAAGGCTACTTGCGAATCAGCGGGAACGTTCAGCCTTTTCTTGCCACCGCACCGTCTGACAACCTTGGCGCTGACCATATATGTCTGCACGCCTAGTTTTTTTTTTCTTTTTCATCGTAAACCGTTACTATTATTTTTTGTCACATCTTCAGCGGTCCATCACACATCCCCGCGCCCGCGTTATCACCGTTATCGGCTGAGCCACGCGAGTCGGGCGTAGTAATAAAGAAGAAGACTTAACAGAACAGAACCCGTGCGTTATCTCATACTCGCTCCTTCAACAAAAATGTTTGCGCCTACACAAAACGAAATAAAAGTATATACCTTCTACTTTTTTTTCTTTTCAAATCTAAATGCGTGAGTATTTGGATGCATTTAATTATAATATCTGGAGTATTACGCCCCAAAAGCACGGTATTGCTACGTGAAGGTATACACGCGAAACTAGGCGTTTGAAGATATATTTCCACAGCGCCAGCGCGCAAGCCAAGATGGTGAAGAAGTGCTCTGCCCCACACCGAAATCACGTCGTCTTTCTCCGCGCCTATCTCACCACTTTTGTGGGACATTGTCTCATAAAAATATGATATGAGAGGCACCGTAGTAGAGGGCTCCGGAAATGTTGACCATCTAGTGTTCTTTACCGTATCACACAGTGTGCACGGGCCTCTACAATTTCGCCACCGTCGAAATGCGACCGACGCCACCTGGATCGCAGCCGCCACCTTCGTTTTAGGAGCATGCACCTATCCTCACCCTTTTTGGAACTTATTTCATTCAGTCATATGAAGAGGATGCACAGAAAACAAAAGCTGCCGTTCCAAATCTGGGCGACCCAGCACGCCCATGGGGTGGCGTCAAGGCAAGCCCTTGACGTCCCCTCATCCA